ATGTGTATGTTATATATGATATGTTTGATATTATCTTTCTATATCCTGTGGAAACAGTATGTATATATGTATATATAGAGCATATATATACATATATAATGTATGTAAGGTGTGTTGTTGTATATATGTATGTGTATATGTTTAATATATGTTTGCTAGTATATTTCTATATCCAGTATATACTGTATGTATATATGCGTGCATATATAATGTATTTCAATATGTCATGTTTATATTGGTATATTGTATATATTGCATCCTTTCCAATACTATATACAGTAACTCCTTCAAACACCGGTCGTCAATAATAATAATAATAGTCAGACTGTGGACTGAACCAGACCAGGGTCTGCAGCTCCAGCCCCCACCTCTGCCCCCCCCGTCAAGACTAAGACAGAGGACACGTCTCTGGTGCTCGGCTGGGACGTGCATGCGTAAACAAGCAGGAATAAACACTGCCCTCTGTGGCTGCTCTGTGACCTCAAATGATCCTCTGTGTACACTGTAGACTCTGCCATTCATACTGCCGCCGCCACCAGGGCACGCCGACTGTATATTATATATGTCTATATGTTCCAATGTATATTATGTATGTTTAATGTTCCAGTGTATATTATATATGTCCATATATTCCAGTGTATATTATATATGTCCATATATTCCAGTGTATATTATATATGTCTATATGTTCCAGTGTATATTATACATGTCTATATATTCCAGTGTATATTATATATGTCTATATGTTCCAGTGTATATTATACATGTCTATATATTCCAGTGTATATTATATATGTCTATATGTTCCAGTGTATATTATACATGTCTATATATTCCAGTGTATATTATATATGTCTATATGTTCCAGTGTATATTATACATGTCTATATATTCCAGTGTATATTATATATGTCTATATGTTCCAGTGTATATTATACATGTCTATATATTCCAGTGTATATTATATATGTCTATATGTTCCAGTGTATATTATACATGTCTATATATTCCAGTGTATATTATATATGTCTATATGTTCCAGTGTATATTATACATGTCTATATATTCCAGTGTATATTATATATGTCTATATGTTCCAGTGTATATTATACATGTCTATATATTCCAGTGTATATTATATATGTCTATATGTTCCAGTGTATATTATACATGTCTATATATTCCAGTGTATATTATATATGTCTATATGTTCCAGTGTATATTATACATGTCTATATATTCCAGTGTATATTATATATGTCTATATGTTCCAGTGTATATTATACATGTCTATATATTCCAGTGTATATTATATATGTCTATATGTTCCAGTGTATATTATACATGTCTATATATTCCAGTGTATATTATATATGTCTATATGTTCCAGTGTATATTATACATGTCTATATATTCCAGTGTATATTATATATGTCTATATGTTCCAGTGTATATTATACATGTCTATATATTCCAGTGTATATTATATATGTCTATATGTTCCAGTGTATATTATACATGTCTATATATTCCAGTGTATATTATATATGTCCATATACTTTAAAACAGACCACAGATTTTCAATTATATTCAGGTCTGGGGACTGAGATGGCCATTCCAGAACGTTGTACTTGTTCCTCTGCATAAACGCTTTGGTAGAATTTGAGCGTGTGTTTAGGGTCGTTGTCTTGTTGAAGTATCCAGCCCTGGAGCAACTTCAACTTTGTCACTGATTTTTGAACATTGTGTTTTGCAAGAATTTGCTGATACTGACTGGAATCCATGTTACCTTCAACTTTAACAGGATTGCCAGTACCTGCACTGACCACACAGTCTCACAGTATGATGGAACCACCACCAAATGTAACTGTGGGTAGCAAGTGTTTGTTTTGGATTGCTGTGTTCTACCGCCATGCATACCGCCCCTTGTTATGTCCAAATAACTCAATTTTAGTTTCATCAGTCCATAGCACCTTATTCCTAAATGAAGCTGGCTTGTCCAAATGTGCTTTAGCGTACCTCAAGCCACTCTTTTTGTGGCATGGGCGCAGAAAAGGCTTCTGCCGCATTACTCTCCCATACAGCATGTCCTTGTGCAAAGTGCGCTGAATAGTGGAACGATGCACAGTGACACCATCTGCAGCAAGATCATGTTGGAGGTCTTTGGAGCTGGTCTGTGGGTTGAGTTTGACTGTTCTCACCATCCTTCACCTCTGCTTATCTGAGATTTTTCTTGGCCTGCCACTACAGGCCTTAACTAGAACTGTGCCTGTGGTCTTCCATTTCCTAACTGTGTTCCTCATAGTGGAAACTGACAG